CCGCAGCCGGAGGAGCCCGCCGAGGGAAGGGGAGCCAATAAACGGGCCCGCCCGCCCTGCCTTGCCTTGCCTTGCCCCGCCGGTGTGCCTCCTTCCTGCGCCTGATGGGAGTTGTAGTCCTGCCGACATGGGGAGGGAGGTTTTTCTGGAGGTGTGTGGGGGTCTTTGGGGGAGAATGAGTCCGCCTGAAACCCCCGGGGGGGGTTGTTGGTGTCAAATTCAGTGAATCTGACTTGCAAAAAAGTTTGACCGTTGTTCAAATAATTCTCTTCTAAAACTCATAGGTGATGCAAAAAAGGACAAAGACAAAAGCAACTTCATATTTTCAGGAAAATTTGCAATAGAGATCTTGAACTACAGAGGAAGGGTAAGGCTGCTCTAGACCCCCTGGCCCACCCCCATCCAGCAAGTGCTCTCCCGGCCCCGATCCAATCTGTGTGCCTTGTCGATCCAAGAGGGCAACCCAGCCCGCCTCCCCCGGAACAGATTTCAGAGAAAGAAGACCTGGATTGGGAAGGAGAGGGTTTTTTCCCCCCTCCCTTTATTGACGTCACAAGCTGCCAAAAAGGCTTCCTGCCCAGGCTCCAGGCCGCCCTCACAGGGGGGGCGTCTGCAGCCACTTATTCCAGTTCAGCTCATAGGGGAAGACCCGGCCCATTTTCAGGGTGCAGTCCACGCAAGGCTCGTAGAAAACGGTGGGGGTCTCGCTCAATCGAGGCTCCGTGATCACTTCCTCCAGGACAGGCTTTGAGAAGAGCGAGGTGGCCGGCTGGTTCTTCAGATGGAATTTCCTGATGCAGCCCAGAGATTCCAGGCCCTGCAGGGGGGGAAGGGGACATGACGTGGGACGCCAGCCATGTGTGTGTAGCCCAGAGATTCCAGGCCCTGCAGGGGGGAAAGGGGACATGACGTGGGACGCCAGCCGTATGTGTGTGTGTGTGTGTGTGTGTGCCTCCTGGAGCCTGTCTCAAAGGTGCTGGGGAGCAGAGACCCAGGCAAGGCCGGCCCTTCAGATGCTTCTCGGTGGCATCTCCCATGACTCCCTGCCAGCCGGGTAGCTGATGGGACCTGCAGGGCTTTACTTGGCCCATCATCTCTGAGCTTTTAGCCAGAGGCACTGGGGCGGAAGGAACCAAGTGCCTTCCTCTGGGCACCAGGGAGAGTGGACCAGCCAACGGGCCTCCTCTCTTCTCCTGGCCTTTGTCAGGGACTTCTGTACTGCAGTCTCTTGCTTTTTTTGAGGATGGGTAGCCCCAGCAGGGAAGGTGGCAACCTGCTGGCGAGGTGACCTTGCCCTGGTGGCCAGGGATGCCAAACACCCACCTGCAGGATCTCCAACAGAGCCACTGGCTGCAGGATGCCCAGGTAGTGGTGGCGCAGGGCAGCTTCTGTGATGCCAGGCTTGGTCATGATGTGGCACAAGACACCCTCCATGATGCCCTTGCAGACAGGCTTATTCAGACTGCTGTCCACAATGCGCCATGGCCGACCCACAAAGCAAAATGTCTCGCCAGCTCTGGAGGCAAAGAAATCATTCAGTCACTCCCATGCCTACGTCTAGACAAGAACACCACCACGCCTGGTACCAGCGAAGCCCTGGGTGCCTCAGGCTCTCTCCACCACCCCTGGCCTGTTCTGGAGGTTCTGCTTTGCGTCTCCTCTGTCTGACCTGAACGCTGCTTACAGTGGCTGCTTCTGCCTACTGTGGGGCCTTGCACCTCGGCATCAAACTCCAGGGAGAAGGGCATGCCTCTGGTATTCAGAGACTGCAGGCGGGAGGTCCCGCAAGGCCTGGATGCCCTAGAAGTGCCTTTCTGCCACATGCACACACACCCAATTGCTCGACGCCTGCCTCTGCCCGCTTGCTAAGGCCTTCCTGCCCTATGCCCAAGCCTAAGCAGCGAACAAAACCTGCCACCAGTGACTAGAGCGTGCCCCTCTGCCAGGGGCCCAGGCCTTGAGCGACTCAAGAGGGCAGCTCCGATGCAGGGATCCCTAAGCAGAAGGCGGTCTCCCTGCTGGGCTGCGCACACTCACCTTCCCTCCTCAGTCCACGCGGCCTGCCCTGTGGAATGTTCTAAGGGAAAAGGCAAGACAAGGGAGTCGGTTATCTCACTGGAGCACCCGCCCTCTCCTGGTGGCAGGCCATTGGAAAGCCCTGGACCAGAGGTCATCCTTAAAGGCACAGGCCCCTCCTGCCACACTCACAGCTGGGAGCTCAATAAATTGGGGGGGGGGAGGCAGGGGCTCGTTCCACACGTACCCCTGGTGCTGCCAGGAACCTCTTGCAGGGCTGCATTTCTGTTGCCTGGCTCGCGAGCAGGCGTTCCACCATCCCAGGGTTGCTGGCCAGGTGGCACCCCCGTCTCTTTGCCCCAGGAGGGGGTGCTCTCCTTCCCCGCAGGGTCCCCGCTGCAGCCTTCTGTCCAGTCGGGCTCTTGCGTGGCTCCTGATCCTTCACGTCTCGCTTGGGTCTCTGCCCCACCGGCGTCGAAAACAGGCCCTCGGCCCACTTCTTCCAAACAGGGCCCTGGGCTCTGGAAGGCCACTTCGACCTCCAAGCTCTGCTCCTCCTCGGCTATCCTTTGCCTCTTCCCTGCTGGCTCTTCCGCGGCCAAGGCTGGTGAGGGGGACCTTCTGAGGCCCTCTCCCCTCTCCTCCCAGCTGCTGCCCTCAATGGGGTCCCCCTGGGGGCTGTTGTCCTTGCCTCGCAGGCCTGTGCTGAAGTCCTCCTGGGGATGTGCTGAGTGCAGAAGCCATGGGCCAGCAAACCTCCTTGCCACCAGCCGAGGACTGTAGCCCCCAACTTCCAACAGCTGCTCCAGGTCAAGAAGGTCCTATACAGAAGGGGCAGAACCAGAGGAAGGGAGGCTGAGTGGCTCAGGCAAGTGGATTTCCTTGCAACCCTCTCCTCCCCCCGGCCCAGGAGGCTCCCGTCTGCCCACCCACTCACCTGAAGGTAGTGTTGCAAGAGGCGGGCGCGCCCTGGGCTGGCCTCTTCGTAGTGCTGGAACTGCCTGGCCAGGTTGACCCGGTCCACTCCAAAGTGGGCAGGGGCTGCGATGGCCGCGCAGACCTCGAGGGCGGCAGCCACGTCGCCAGGGCTGTACTGGCGGTTCTGGAGAGCCTGGCGGAGCTTGGCCGGGTCCTCCTCCTCCTCTCTTTGCCGGCCACTCAGCCGCCGCGTGAAGGAGCTGGGCAGGCAGGAGACGCCCACGGGCATCCTCTCCAGATCCGTGGGCTCTGGAAGACAAAAGCGGCCTTGTGGGCAGCCCCACCACTAGGAGGGGAAAAGCTGGGCTGCCGCCCCCCCCTTGCAACCAGTACTCTCCCTTTCTAAGCAGGCAGGGGTGATGCTGAGGGGCTGCCCCACAGAGGGATGTCAGGAAGGAGGTCCTTCCTTCTGGGATTCCTGTTTGACACCCCCCCTCCCTGCCTGCTCTGGGGGGGGGCTCCCAGTGCACTGACCTTGCGCCAAGAGGCCATTGGGGGCAGGGACCTGTCTCAGCCTCAGCTTCACCTGGCAGGAGTTGACCACAATGTTGTCCGTGGGGCTCAGGTTGCGTGTGCTGACAATCCCTGGGGCGTAGTAGCCCCTCATGAGCAGGTAGTTGGTGTGCGAGGCCTGGCGCGCCTTCACTTCAATCGGCCGCTTACTGGTGGAGCCTTCCTCCAGATTGTCGTCGTCGTCCTCTTCCTCCTCTTCCAGGCCCTCTTTCCCCAGGCTGCAGGAAACGGGACAATTCCCCCCCACCCCACCTTTAGGCTCAGCCCAAATCCACCCCCCCTGCCCGGGAGACTCAGGCGGGAGAGCAGCCCTTCCCTAGGTTGACACTCCCCTGTTATTTAATTGCTCTAAAGGGGCAACTCTCCCTTCTTTATTGTACTGTATATACAGCTTACAGGTCTCTCCCTCCCCCTCCCCCGCTGGAACCATTTCTCTCCACAACCACCCTATCAGGTAGGCCAGGCGGAGAAAGAGAGGGAGGGGAAGGAGAGACGAGCCCCATGTCAGCCAAGGAGGCTGATGGCCAAGCAGAGAGTGGAAAGCCAGCTGTGCTGCTCTGGAATTCAGTCTGGAACAAAAAGGGAAATTCCAGCCCTTGGAAACGTTGAGCAGGAGAAGTCCCTCCTCCGTTTCCACTTCCATCCCATCAATGAAGGGCTTGCGGCACTTCTGGCTGCATTTCTCCATCTTCTCTAAATGGGCAGATTTTCAAAGGCAGCCTTTCCGATCTTTATTTGGGGGCTGCTGCTGCAATGGTGAAAGCCCATCTGCCGCTGGTCCTCTGGGAGCATCAGCCCCCCCCCCCACTAGGCATTCAGTGCTGGCCTGTTGGCTGGCTAGGGCATTTGAACAGGGGGGAGGTTCTGGGTGGAGGCAGACAGTCCCCCGCCACCCATTTGTTTGGGAGACGGTTCGGCCTGTCCTGGGGTCAGCCCCGTCGGCCAGCAAACACCCCCCCTGACGGGCCTCCTACCTTTTGATGACCTCGTTCTCCACCATGGTGCTGTCCACCACCACAATCTGCTCTGGGATGGAGACATCGACAGAGACCAGGCCGAGGGAGAAGAGGGCAAGGACCGTGGCACAGTAGCCACCGGGCCCGTCCAAGGGAAAGGTCACCATTTCTGAGGCACAGGGCTCGTCTGGGTCTTTGAAAGAAAAGCTGTCGGCTTGGTCCTCCTTCCCGGCTTCCTTGAGCTTCAGAAGAAACTGGTACGACTCACTAAACAGCGTGCTAGGAAACCGCCACGTGAACACTCTGGGGAGAGGGGGGAAAGGCCAAGAGGTCAGGAGAAGGGAGGCTGCCGGGGGGGGGGCGGCCGCCTTTTCTCTCCCCCAGCTGAGGGTCTCCTCCTCATTTCCTCCTCCCCACTAAGGCAGGGGCCCATGTAAGCTGCCGTGAGGGCCATCCACAGCAGGCTGGCTGCAGCTGCCCTGCATTTTTTGTCCTGGTGGCACCAGAGACTGGTGCCAGGCTCTGCACGGACCTGTAGTAGCCCTGGGAGAGTTGGTAGGACATGGGGGCAAAGGGCAGCCCTCGGCTCTTCTTTGGGCCCAGGCTGTGGTTGCCCCGGCGGCGGTTCACCAGGCTCCTCTTCTGGCACTCCACGAAGGCCTTGAGCAGGATGTCGTCACGGTATTCCTGGTACAGGCGGAAGGTCTGCAAAGACGCATGGGGTCAAGGGAGGGC